CCAACCCTAACAGGTCCAGCTCCTTGGTCCCAGCCTCTGCGGCTGGAACCCTGATCATTCTCATGTTCTGCCTTGGGTGATCTACCGTCTGTCGAACCACCAGTTAGGGTCCTCCTCGAGCCATTCTGCCCGTTTCTGGAAGCCCCATATGTAGGATAATCCCAGGCCTCGTTCATGTCTGACCTCCAAGGAGGACCCCGTCCCCGCATGCCTGAAGCAATTCCATCAATTTGGGCAAATCTTTCCCCGAAAGGAATCCGCCCATCCCCACCCCTTCCAAACTTGGTGCTAGAGTAATCAGGGAAACCATTATACTTACCTAAAGGCCTATTAGGTCCGTCAAATCCCATCGCGAAGTGACTTCCTCTCCTACCTGAAGATATTGACAAATCCCTCGCCATGTCTTCAACAACTCTCTCAAGACCCCTTACTCTGTTCTCTAGGGTTATCATGCTATCATGCGATCCACCCATGAAATCCTGCAATATAAAGAAGTATCAAACAATCCCGTAAAGCGTGCATAAGAACTGATATATAAATGCCAGCTTTTAGAGAGGTAAAGCTAGAAAAGGTAGAGAGGAGAGCACCTGCAGCATATTCATTAGATGAGCTTGTTGTCTCTCCAGCTGCAGCAATTGCCTTTGGATTGCGAGCCAATTTCCTTTATTATTGATGAAAGACCCTTCAGATTGACCATCAGATTTGGAGAAGCCGGCACGATTGCTAGACGATTCTCTTTGGTTTAAATCATTCCTATCATCACCACCATCGCTTGGTCTCATTCTCGAGTCTTTTCCATTTTCTGGCCATTTCTCCCGTGCTAGGTCATCAAACTCTCGCTGTTTGTTCCGAAACTTACTACTGAATGTTCCATGGGAGTCATCAGACTGTACATTTCCATTGCGGCTTGGCCTTCCCTTTGGATCCGCATTCGTTTGATCTGCCTCTTCCTCGTTATTCAAGCTTGAAGTGTTGAGATATCTCTGAGGAACAACCACTTCAACAGGCAAATCATCCGAACCCCTTGTTTCTAGTTTCTGAAAGAATTCCGGGTTTAGCACTTTGTCACTTAAGGCAGGTGCTTTCTTCTTCAATATTACAACCGCCTTGTCTGGAATACCACCAACATTCACCTTAGCATCTGAAGTTGGGGAAGTACCATTAGACGAATCCTTTGCTGATGACTCTTTTCTCTCACCCTGCTTCGGATCTTTCAGCTCACCCTTTTCTGACGTCTCAGTGGATTGTTTTTCTTTATTTTGAATATCACCAGAAAAGAAATTATGCAATTAGACATAAGGGACGAACAATTGGAAGATCATGGTAAATAACCAAAAATAACAAGAAACATGAACAAAAATAAAAACTATGTGCCTACCATGAGAAGAGGCTTTCTGGTCCTCTGGAGCTCCATCTCCTTTCCCTGCAATTTTTTTCCACAATTGCAATGCCTCTGTCATGCTGTCTCTGACGGGTTTTATCTGTCAAACGAACCAATCATTTTTGGATGCTTATGCTATACAAGACAACAAAACACTCTTATCACAGTGCTTATTACTGTCCTCAAACAATAAGTTGAAAAGGGAAAAGCTGCAATAAAAAGTTGAGCACATTTTAAACCAGTTGTGATTGGCCTTTTTGGAATGCCATTATGCTCTCAGAAACAACGTCTCTAAATTCTCGACCATCAATACTTGATCGTTTCATCTAATTCCATTATAGTTGACCTGCTAGCCTAAAATAGTATTCCAGGAGAATCCACGTAATACCAGGATCTTGAAACTGTTGCCCCCAAAAATAAAAATAGAAAAAAAGGCAAAGAAAAGAAACAGTTTTTGATATCTATTTCTGTCACCTTTCAGCAGGGAAACAGTTTCAGAATGTCTCATTATTGAGAACTTGAAGTGCCAAAGATAGTATTGATGTCTGCATATCCTCATTGCAGACTTACAGAAGAAGAGATAAAAAGAAAAGCTACCTTGTCAAAACGACAAGCTTCGAGTGCAGTCAGCGTGGAAGCAGCCCCATCTGTAATTAAGTTGCTAGAATACAATGCCAAGGAAATTAATGCATCGGCTGCTGCTTTACGTGTTGCCCAATCTGAACTCCCAAGGCATTCGTGAATACTTTGCAATAGATGTTCAAAGCTCTGCGGAGCAATTGCTCCCACCTGCAACAGTTTATGACCCTTAGGAACTGCCTCACATTACAAAAAACCTAAAACATAAATGTTACACTGTACTCATGTTCCTCGGGTAGAACCCCGCAATAACTACGCAATTTGAATTTTGAAATGCCAAATGGTATGGATACCTATGCATGAAAATTTCACATGTATGCTTGGAAAAAGAAATGAAGCGATAAAAAGGAGAATATTGGAAACCCTTGGAAAAGAACTTCCTATCACATGCTCTTACAACCGGTACAAAACAGAAAAGAGGCGAAAAGATGAGCCTTTTTATCTATATTATTATAACCCAAATCCCAAAAATCCCCTTAATTCACTTAGCAGGCTAAAGTTCGAAAAAGGAGTCCCTGCCAAAGCCCACAAACATATGATATCAAGACAATGTAAATGACTATTATAACTTCAAAAGAATAAAATGGCCAAAAAATCCATAGCCACACAAAATCCCATCTGTCTTAACAAGAATTTACTCAATAATTCACTACTTTCATAAGCATTTGAACACCCTACCATTCCAGCAATCTACATTCCATGACCTTGAGTGCCAACTAGATGAATGAGCTTAAGACTTCACATAACTATCCCAAATCCAAAGGAACTAAAATGACCAAAAAGTCGAGAAAATTTCAAAACCCACACATTTAGAACTGGCAGCTCAGAGGGTCATTAACCTGTACATGTATTATCAACACTTTTACCATGAACCCCATCTATCTTAACAAGTTTATGACAATGTTCCGTGCAATCACTAATCCAAAAACCCACACAACACCAATCAAAAGTCAAACACAAACAAAACCACCATGTTAAGTATGTAGAACCTAATTATTGCCCTAACGCAAAGTCAACACGTAGATCGACCTCGGTCATTAAAACACCAAGTCGCCGACATGTTTTCGTAAGGGTACATTCGTCTTGTAAACCATGTATTTTTTATTGTGCAAATTATACTATCTTCGGGGATGCTAAATGTAGTCATTAGTAAAAGTTGGAGAGAAAAACACATTTAGAGAGTTTTTTTCTCTTGTAATCTTCTTATTCATCATAATAAAATACCAACAATGGATAAAAATAGCTCCCACATTGAGTAGGGTGAACCACTATAAATCGTGTGTGCGCCTTGTCGTCTCCTTATTATATTGCTCTCGTTCCTAAAGATTAGGACTTTAATCCATAACGCACAAAATCAACACAAAGAACATTATTATAAGCAACCTACAAAAATAAAATAGAATTAAAAAGAAAAAAAGAAAAAGAAAAGAACCTGGGACAAACTGGAAACGACAGGCAAAAGAGAGGCCTTGGCGAGGAAGTTGGGATTGTTGAGGAGCTTGCAGATCCTGGGGCAAATCTTCTGGAATGCCGTCACCGGCGGATCAGCGGCGCACTCCACCATCTTCGCCATACACAGGGCCGCACCCGATTGCACCCCCTTGTTCTGCTCCCCCATGGCCTCGAACAGCGGCCTCACGAACAGCCCCACCACCGCCGCCGCATTTTCGCCGCTGCCTCCATTGCCACTTCCCTTCAAGTACAGCCCCGAAAGCGCGCCAATGGCGTCGCGACACGCGTCCCGGACGGCGGAGTCGGTGTCCTTAAGTTTTCTCACGACGTGGGAGATGATCTTGGTGAGGTGGGCGGCAGCGGCGTCAGAGTGGGCGGCGCATACGGCGGTGAGGAGGCGGAGAGACTCCTTCTTCACGGCGGGCTTGGGGTCGGTGGCGGAGGCGTCGTAGAGGCAGTTAAGGAGCATTGGGATTCCCTCCGGCGAGAGGGTTTGGGTGATCTTCTCGAGGTCGTCGACGGCGATTTGGTGGGTGTCGCGGTCGGAGAGCTTCGAGAGGGAGGTCAGGATTCGCTGCTTCATCTCCACCATTGCCAGGTGGGACGACACCGAAAATGATGATGATGATGATGAAGATCTCGACGGTGGCGGCTGGTTTGATGGGTTTTGTGGTGGGGGTTTTGTCGGCTTTGTTGAGCTGATTCTTTGGGAACTCATTTTTGTGTTTGTGAGGGAAATGCAGATGGGTGGAGCAGAGTTTTTAGAGAGAGAAAGTGAGGAGAGAGAGAGAGGTGGAGTGAGAAGCAAGAATGTTGTTTTAGTTGACAATCATTTCGAAAGGAAAATTGGAACTTGCGGGGAGCGATGAGTGAGATCTAGAGAGAGAGAGAGAGATGAAGGAAAGAGAGGTTTTGGTGTGGAAAAGCCAAAGGAGGAGTAATGGGCCACAATGGTGGTGTTTGTTTTTGTTTTTGTTTTTGTATTTGTTTTGCAATGGAGCCTAGAAAAAAAAATGTGATTTTTTTTTTTTGGTTTTTTTGGTGGGAGATTATTTTTCAAATTTTACAGTTGATTATACTTGGCATCTCTTGACTAAAATTGTTTATGTCCAATTTTTCAAAAACAAGAAAATTACACGCATATTTTCGTGGATAATTTTTTGGGTATCATTAAAAAAAATACTCACATTTTTTCTTTTAAGATTTTGCCCCATTAATCGCATCAAAATTATATTAAAATAAAAAAAATTATAAATTCTTATGGTCTTAGTGACTTCACTCCCCTTCAAATTTTAAAAAACTAGAAAAATGTCTGATTTTATAGGTTTTTCTCTTTTAATCGTAAGTTCAAACATCAGTTCAAATCTTTTTGTTATAATG